AAACCGCTGGAAGGACGTACACCGCTCGTGAAACGCACGAGAGGAGGACGACAGTGGAGCATGAGCAAAGTTTCTGCCAAAATCCTGGAAAGTCGGGGGCTCCCGGCGCCTGGCCCAGAATCTGGTGTTGCACCGCCTCATGCCGCGGCGCCAAGCTCTTGGGTCCATGTCCGTGCACTACGTCTCAACGACCGCCGGTCTTTGCTCTGTTCAACTTTTCATTCCAGCTCAACGCAGTCCCGACCGTTCTTTGCATTGACAGATGGTACGAGTTTGCTGGACAGAGAAGCGGATCCTAGAGGCATGTCACCGGACGTGACGAAGTGATGCTGACGCTGACGCTGTGGCGCCCACTGGTTCCCACGCCGAGTCTGTTTCACCTCGCTGGTGACTGTCTCAACCTCCCTATTTATAACCTTGGAGGATTCTTGGGAACCTCGTCTGCTCTGAGTGCTTCAAAAGAGCGGTGTGTCGCCGAGGGATCTCCGGGGGTTGTCATGTGCGGTGGCAGAGTTGGTGGGTGACGCGGTCACTGGAATTGCGGTACACTCACAACGACACGGGGTGGGTGGGAGGGTTTCTGAGAAGTGGCCAGTTTGTCACTGCTACGATGTCCTTGTTGCCTGCACGTGCTCTGGGAACTTGTCTGCGACGCCGATTGCGAGCTGCAAGAACTCACAGCGGGACTGACGGGCATCAACCCCTCCGATCATCGCCGATCGTCGTCCGGTCACTCTCAAGAACGTAGTGCGCCCGCTCCCGTCTTTGATCGGCGTGCACTTGCCCCCGCTGGTACGCTGGTCGTACTCCACAGCCGTCCACGTCATGCCCAGCATGCTCTCACACAACCTCTCGAGCGAGAAGAACTCACACTCTCTTTCTTATTCCGTCCAGGACGTCCACGCTGCCGAGTGAACCCCACCTTCCAATACTGTAAGTAAGCCCTAGGCCATTCCAGCCTGAGTGAGCTTTGGAAGGCCTACCCCAGCTAACAGCAGTCAGTCATGCGACTCTCTGCTGGCGTAGATCGGAAGCGAGCAGAACGCTGGCAAGCTTTCGCTGTCGTGTACTTAAGCTGACAACAGACCCGCCATCCCTGCACAGCTCGACACATGATCTCCGGAAAGCGCGGCAATGTACATGGATTGATATGAATTGAGCAAGCTTTGAACATGTAGAGGGAGCTTACGACAGGGCGCAGACAGAGGACAACCTGTCACACCCCTCGTTTGGGTGAGCTAACCTCTGAGGATCGCAGCTGACAGCGTACAGGAAGCTGTCCGGTAGCTGCGACTACTTCTCCCGGTGGGCTGACTTGACGGTTGCTTGGCAGCTGATTTCAGCCGCAGAGTCAACGTTGCGAGCTGCTCGAACAGGAGTCATGATCGGTGAGCTTGCCGACCACCGATGTGAAGCTGACCACACAGGATGCCTTGGGAGTTGCTGGATGCGAGCCAAGCTTGCCTGGTATGCTGTTCTGTATTTGTCAAGCTGACTGCAGAACAACGGAGGATGGACTCTCGTTACCAGGCCACTGATGCCAAAGGAGGAGTGACCTTTGTGGACGTATATAGCAGACCCAGCTGACTCGCAGCGGACTGTTGTAGGGCCGCGGGGATCCACCCATGCCGTGCGCTGATCGAACTTTTGAGTCCAGCTAACTTTATCCAGAGGTTGAGGGACGGTGACTGTAATATGTACCGGTACTGTAGGAGGCGGTGAGCTCGCATTCCTGTGAAGTACGAGCTGACGGTAGACAACCAAGTTCGAGGCGCCTCAGCGGAGAACCGTCAGCACCGTGAGCTACTGCGCTTCCGATGTCTCAGCTGACTTCAGGCTCCGGCGACGGGAGATATAGCTCGCCTGAATAACGACATGAGAGCTTCGCGCCACAGAAAAGCGATAAGCTGACATCGGTCAGAAGGCTGATTAGACCGCAAGACGACCACTCTGCATCGTAGGCTTACCTGCGACGTGTAGAGCTGACTTCAGACGTGATGTTCCTTGTCGCAAACGACCTACGACCCCAACGTCGTCGAGATGACGGTGAGCTGAAGTGTTGCTGCTCAGCTGACGAAAGACAGAGTAGATGTCCCTGTGGCAAGTAGCTTTCGCTCTGTGAGCTGGGATGTTTTCGATCAAGCTGACCGCAGACGAAGAGGCAGTATCTCATGTCGTACGTCAATCCTGGGGTCAGTGGGGCTAGCTTCGTTTGAGAAGCTGACTGGTCTCAGAGTTTCGAAGATTTTCGAAGATTTCTCAGCGGTATTCTGGTGTGCGGTGAGCTGGCCTGGGCCCGAAAAGAGCTGACTGCAGACCCTAGATGGCGAAGCAGTCGCCGACACTGGGCATGTGCAAGAGACAAATCTGACCACTTGGTTGGGCGTGAGTGACCAATGCGCCAACCTATGCTGGTGAGCGTGAGGTGTTGCGTCGACCCAGCTCACAAAGATAGGCGGCGATGGCTGGAGTCTGCCTCGATCAGTGAGCTGGCTTAGGCAGTCGTTCAGCCGACTTCAGGCATGCGAGTGCTGGAGGCTACGCGAGCTTGCCGCAAGGTGAGCTGCCCCGGGGTTTGAGTGCAGCTGACGATGGCAGGACGGTGATGGAGCTGCATGTCTTTTTGATCCGTGAGCTAATTTCTTGGTTGTAATAGCTAACCTCAGACAGCCGGTTGTGTACCATCCTAAATGCAAACAGTGGTAGAGACGGTAAGCTTTGTTTGTGTCGGCAAAGCTGACGGCAGAAATGTAGCATGAAGATTGCTCCGATCAGTGAGCTACTGTGCTGTGTGGTACAAGCTAATGTCCAGACGGCGAGTCGGTCAAGCTGCCTTTGCCGCAGACTTGTGAGCTACTGTAGGCAGCTCATTGGCGTACTGTAGCTGACAGTGACAGGAAGCCGTTCCCATTGCCCCGACTGTCGGAGCATGGTAAGCTCTCTCACTGTCAGCGCTAGCTGACCCCAGGCGTACTAACACAAACCGCTGGAACTAGTGAGCTATATGCCCTCCAAGGTTTAGCTGACATCAGAGAGGAAGCTGCCGAGAAGCCGTCGTAGCGAGACGCCTGCGTCGAATGAGCTGCCGTGTCCGATCCCCGGCTAATTGCAGGCTCACAAGAGGCTGTAACGAGCACCACAAAGCCAGTGGGAGTGGGCTACATATCCATCACGGGGGCTGACATAGTCAGCAAGCAACAGGGAGCACCACGGCGGAATTCTCGGACTCTGTGAGCTGGCCTCCTGTACCGACAGCTGGCCTCTTCGTCCGACAGCTGACATCAGCCGCAGCGCCGGTGACTGTCGACGGCTCTCCAGTGCTGCACCCACTCGGCTGAAAGCTGATCTCGTGGCTGAAGCTGACGAGATGCACCAAGTTCTGCGGACAGCCGTCGGTAAGCTACGATCCCATCCAGCAGGTTTAAGCTTACCACAGTCGCAATCAACAGCGCTACAGAACACTATCAGGACAGTGAGCTATCTCTCGCCGATACGTCGCTGACAACAGTCATCGACAGTTTAGAACCCCCCGGGTTCCGTAAGCTCTGCCGTCGGGTATCCAAGCTGACTCTAGACACTTCTGCACAGGCGTGGCAAGTTCACGAGTAAGAGAGTGGTGAGCTAAAGCTTCCTGCGTAATGAGCTGACAACCCGCAGAAAGATGCACATCTCTGCAATTCTGTCAGCTCACAAACCACGATGCGAGCTGACCCCAGCTGCGAAGGCGCAGCATCATAGGGCTGAGAAGAGGTAAGCTGTGGAATGTGGCTGGGAGAGCTGACAGACAGGAGGTGTCCGAAGTGCCGCCGGTGCCCCCGCGAGAGCTGTAAGCTCCCAAACCGCTAGAGTAGCTGATCTCAGACGTCAACGGCCCAGTCTATCGAGAACAGGCGCCACTCCTAAATGTCTGAGGCCGCTATAGCCCGATTCCTCCTGGCGCGGCATGTCTACCAACTGTCAGCAAGCGGGCAGCCAGTTCTCCTACATTCAGCGACTCGACTGTCAGCTCTGGTTCTCAGATCTGCGTAGCTGATATCCCAGGGTTGCCCGGAATGCTTATCCCATTGGTCTGCCATCAGTGAGCAACATCCAAGACCACTCGCATCGCCTGACTAGCGGACGCGTGCCGTAGGTCCCGACGTGGTAAGCTAGGCATTTCTTAAAGTGATAGCTCACCTCAGAACAGGACGAGCCATGAATCCCCTTGCGCGTTTAATGACAGGTGCCGGCCGGGCATCATGAGCCAGTAAGCTGTAGTGCGCTGCTAGAAAAGCTGACCGCCAGAACACGTCCTCCTTGTCGGCGCTACTTCTCGATCCACCACTCTGCCACAACTCGGTCCTGCACTCATTCATTCGGAGGTCAGTTTCGATGCGCTTTTAACGTAAGCTGACCCGCAGCCAGTGCCCATCCCTTCTCCGGCCATTACTAAGATCCTCTCAAACGTTACATATGCATATTAGTGATCGCTGAGCTTCTCTATTTTGACGTGTAGCTAACCTCAGAGTGAAAGCCATGAACAGTCGAGGCGGGGTTCTGGTGAGCTGCTTTTCCTTGCATAGCCAGCTGACCTCGAACAGAGGTGGGGTGCTCATGGTTCTCCTACATCAACAGTTGTAAGCTATCAACCAACCGAAAATCCACCAGCTAACCACGGACAGGAGTCCGTTAACATGACACTGAACTTTCCTCGCGCTCGTGCTCATCTCGCCGCTCCTCCCACTCTCGGCGCACCTGCTCGCCTGGCCAGTCCTGCTATTCTTGCAGTCAACTTTGAAGAGCCCGGCAGCCATGTCGACAACCCGATCGTGCTAGACTCTGCCCCCAGCTCCAGGGCACCCTCCCCACTCCAGCCCGTCGATATGCACCAACCGCTCGCCCGTATCCACCAGGAGAACCAGCAACTGCAGGCCCAGCTTGCCCAGGAGCGCCACTGGTCTGCAATCGCTGACCGCCGGATCCAGCGCGACAGCCGCATTATCCGCACCATCCGCAAAGCGCTCAAGTAGAGTGTTACCCGTCTAGTGAGCTGCACATGAAACCCACAGTGGAAGCTGACCGCAGCCGAGCGAGTGGGACGAGGCTCAGTATCCTGGAATAGTGTCAGCAGGAACCAACGGAAGCTGACTGGATATATGCACAACTTACACTGTGCATGACGCCTTCGTCGTCGGGCTCATATCTTCTGAAATTTGACGATTCACCAGGTCAAGTGACACTGTAGGTGACAACGTCAAACGCTTCTCCCTCGCCTCCGGACGGATCTTCAGGGGCATATGTCCCCCAAAGTTGTCGGTGATGGTGCTGGGGTCGACCCGGAAGAAGATATCGGGATTATCCATCGAAAGCCCTTCGATGGCTTCATCGAGGAGCGCGAGGGCGAGGAAGTGGATGGTACCGTCGAAAGCGCGCTTATCGTCCGGCATGCCTCGCAGAAGGAATCGCTTACTGTGGGGAAGGGTCAGCGCGTTCGTCGAGGCGAGTGAGCACGAGACGTACTATTTGGACTCGTCGTCGCGCTTCCCTTTGAGGTTGCGGATCGTGACAACGACGTTGGACTAGATCGCACCGTCCGGACCCACTGTCAGGCAAGGCTCGGTGTCCTAAGATGATGTTAGAGAAAAAACAGGAACGCGACTCACCTTGTACATCACGCCCTCGTTATCCGGCTCATACCCTTTCGACGTTGATGATTCACCTGGCCGGGTTACACCGTACGTGACAACGTCGAGCATGAAATGGAATTGGAGGCGCTGCAAAGGCGAACGCCATACGAAAGAGGGCTCATAGATGGCCTTGACGAAGCGCACGAAGTCGGCTGGCGACGCCGTCTCCTTCTTGTATACCTGTGTGTGCAAGTTGAAGGCTTCTCGGAGGTCGGTGCTAATGTACTGGACGTCAGTCGTGTTTGGAAAAAGGAAGGCCGAAAAAGAGCAAGCTGAAACTCACCGCCTCCACGCTCATGGCCATCTCGCCTACACAGGCGTTGCCCGTCAGGCGCTGGTACGCCGATGACACCAGGTGGAAGTCGAGTTTGCACGTTAGTTCACTGATGGAACCCTTCATGATCTTGCCGTCTTCCAGTCTCAGCTTCGTACGCCAGTGTACGTAGGTCTTCCAATCTGCTGCATCGCGAGTCAGCAAGGGAAAGGAAGAGAGGTCCAAAGACGGAGAATGAGGACGCACCTGCGGATAGAGCTTGCGCCCCACGTTTCAGCAGCCTGGCAGAGCCAGACTCTCGGGTGTTTAGGAACACGCGGAGATGGACAAGCTGGTTACGATGTTTGTTGGCGGTCGGCGGGGCGAGCCGCGGGAGGTGGACCTTTCAGCGAGCCTCTAGTTGCGTGAGTGGCATCTGACCCATTGTGTGCTTGGCCAATTGGTCCGGCACCCGTCCTCTGACGTTGGGCCGCACGGACCACGTGCTGGCAGTCATGGGGACGACATCGGTAGGTGATCTGCCTTTGGATTGCCGGTGCCGGTTTGGAAGAGGCTAAGAACCCTTGGAAATGTGCCGGGATGGGGGTGTGAAGTTGATGCCCGGATGTGAAGGTGACAGGTTTAGGAAGGAAGAACTGGGTGGCGACAGCGAGGTGGGTGAGTAATGGTTGTGAACTGAGAAGAGATGACGTAAAGACAGTCGCGTCTAGCTAGGCCCTCTTGAGGGGGCGGAGGACATAAAGTCGCTGGCAGACGATTGCTTGATCCCGTGATCTGTCAGTGTGGAATGTCTCTCAACCTCTTCGTCGTCCCCGAGCTAACGCAGACCGTAGCTGTAGTCAAGAAAGGCTGACCCGAAGGCTAGTCACGACCCCGGCCCTCAAAAGGCTTAGCAGTAGTAGATATGCACATTAGTGATCGCATTCTTATTCTCTATCCGACTTAGATATTACACTGCTCGCACGCTGCGTCTACTGCTGCGAGAGCAGGCCCTGGGGAGGCGCAAGGAGCGGCTCGCCCTCGGCGGTAACGTAGCAGCCCGAGAGACCGCCGTCGACCATGAAGTCGGAGCCGTTGACGTAGGACGAGTCGTCCGAGGCGACTGGACGTTAGCTATGTTCGCCCAGCATCGAAGCTTAAGTAGCGGAGCCGAATGTGCAGTAATGCAGTCCAGCCCAGCGTGCCTCGCACACTGTTTACCGCATGCTCGCACACTCGTTGTTCGCCAGCGTCAGTACTCACGGAAAACGACAGCCTTGGCCTGCTCGACGGCCTCGCCGAAGCGGCCCATGGGGCAGTGGACCATGCGGCGGTTGAGCTTCTCGGGGGTGTTGAGGAAGTCCATGAGGAGCGGGGTGCGGATGGGGCCGGGGCAGAGCGAGTTGAAGCGGATGCCCTCGCGCGCGTGGATCATGGCGAGCTCGCGGGTCATGGCCAGGACAGCGCCCTTGGAGGCAGTGTACGCAAGCTGGGGAGTGGCGGCGCCGAGCTTGGCAACGAAGGAGGCGACGTTGATGACCGAGCCGCCGCGGTGGAGACCCTTCTCGGGCTCGTCCTTGTTCTGCTTGTTAGCTAAAAGTCAACGAGCGGGAAGCTGGAGAAAGCAACAACTTACGTTGCGCATGGCAATCACGGCGTACTTGCAGCCGTACCAAACACCCTTGACGTTGATGGCCTGGGTCAGGTCCCAGATCTTCTCCTCCGTGTTGACGGCGTCGTCGTCCCTGGGGTTAGCTCACCGGGCGCCTCAAGCTCGCCGGCGCGAAAGCGCATCAATGCCTCGATCTGCTCACTTGGGGTGCATGATACCGGCGTTGTTGAACTGTTGTCAGCTTATCTCCAGGCGTCGTCGCAACTGTCACTTGGAGTTTGTCACACGAGACACATGGGCACGAGGCAGCCGTCGATCCACAGGCGCACAGACCTCGCGTCGACTTCGCCCTCCAGCGCCAGAGCCTACTCGTGTCTCCAAGGACGAGAGGATGTTCCCAGCATCCGAGCGGCTTGCGTGTGCTCGTGAAGTCCGAGCGTTCGTGGTGACTCCCAGCCCGACTGCTGACTCACCATGACATCGAGGCGGCCGAAGGTCTCGACGGCCTTGTCGACGAGAGCCTTGACGTCGTCCTCCTTGGAGACGTCGCACTTGACGGCGATAGCCTCAGAAGAGGGGAAGCGGGCCTTGACCTGCTCAGCGGCCTTCTGGACGGCCTCGGCGTTGACGTCGGAGAGGACAACCTTGGCGCCCTCGGCGGCGAACTGAAGCGAGGTCTCGAGACCGATGCCGCTGAAAGTTAGCTGAGGTCCGAATTCCAGTAGCTGTGAGTGGATGGATGCTGCGCGGGCATTGGATCGGACAGACTCCGCAGAGCCATTCAGGCTGACCGCCAGCCACACAACGTTGTTGCTCGTTGCCAGCGTCGTCGTCACCGACGTCTCGAGAAAAAGTTCGGCATCCCTGAAACGAGAGGGAAGGTCAGTGACTCACGATCCGGCGCCGGTGACGATGGCGACCTTGTTCTGGAGACGGAGGCGGGGAGTGGCCATTGTGATCAGATTGTGTTGAACAACGGGGTGAGGGGAAGTGTCAGGAATGGAAGGACAATGTGCTGACGAGGCTGGAGGATATACAAATTGGGATGATACCTGAGGTGGGGGCTGCGGGCTGCCTCATGCCTTCCCTCCACCTGCAATCGGCAACGTCGGCATGTCAACAAAACTGGCAATGACCGGTCAGCCCTGGAACAGGCGGATGACCCGAGCTACGCTGGAATGCATCGGCCCTGGATCTTTCTGACTCATATTTATGCTATCAGCAGCGCCAGCGACTGCTGCTAAGCGATAGCCGCACCTCCGCCCATTCGCTCCCTTGCCCGCCCGCTGACCAGCGTGTACCTGACCATCCCAGATCCTCATCCAGCGGCTATCCCTCCACATATCCGTCTTCAAGCGGCCACCAGCCCCACCAGCCGTCGGCCGTCCCCAAACGTCAACCGATAAGCCGACCCATCGTCGCATTCTCGCGTGTTACATGTTACATTGCTTGCCTATTCATGCTTATGTACATTCTACTACATCGTACAGGTCACATCACTCGTCCATGTCCCCCATCCCCTTGCCCATGTCGCTCTGGATCACCTTCATCGCCAGACCCATCATGAGGTCGTTGCCAGCGACAGCTTGCGAGATTCGCGCTCGCTGAGGCGCAGGAGGAGGCGTAGGCGCACGCTTCTTCTCCTCTTCGGCCGGCACTGGCATCGGCTCGCGCTCAATCGCAGCGTCCATGAGGCGGTCAACGAGAGCCTGCTTCAGCTCTCCACGCGTTGGGCCAGTCGGGGCCGGTTCCGGCTCCTTGCTCGGTGACTTGGTCGACGTCGGCGTCTCGTCGCGCACAGAGCTCGTGGCCGCACCGAAACGGGGCGTCACGTTGCCGCTCTCCCAGCGTGCATACTGGGCCGTGCGCTCAGCTTCCCTCGCCCTCAGGGCCGCAGCCTCATCCTTGCGTCTCTGGCGCGTTTCCCGCACGTTCGTCCACGCATACCACAGGACATTGTAGAGCTGAAGAACGTCGTCCTTCCACGCCCGCACAAAGTTCTCCTGGCGGAAGTCTTGGCCGAGTCGCTGGCACCGGCGCACGTTGTCTGAATGTCAGCTAGGAGAGGTTTTCAAAGCTTACGCGGTGAAACAAAGTCGAGGGCAATCTTAATGCAGTTGGCGAGGTTGCAAACTTGGTGCGCACATCCAGCCGGGATGAAGACGGCGTCGCCGGGGTACTGGTACACGCGGAACGACTTGACGCCGTACTTCTCGAACAGCTCCGTCCGGAGAGCAGAGTCGAGGTAGAACATCTGCGCATGGATCGGGTCTTGATACTTGTATTGCATCTTGTCGAACTTCTCCATCAGGAACTGGCGAATTTTGTCCGCGTCCTCGGCGCGGAACAGGTCCCACACCGCACACCCTGGTTTGCCGTCCGGGCCCGGTGAGGCGTGTAAGAGGATGTTGATGGCGTCGGCGACGTCCATGTGGAGTCGCGTTGAGCCCATGCCCCCCTTGTCTTCGCGGGCAGCGAAAGCGTTATACATCTTGGGTCCAATGTCGGGACGAGTGGCACCGGCGGGGAACTGGTGTCAGCTAAGCGCGCGGATGAGAACTTACATGGGAATACAGGTTCAGGACGCCGTTGCGGCGCGTATAGTCCGGAACGGGAAGGGCGTTGGAGAAGTCGTGGTACATGTCAGGGTAGTTGGTCTCAAAGTCGCCTTCGATGGGCCAGTCCTTTAGCTTGAGGATCTTGACCGGCTTTGCCTTCCTCTTGCGCGCCTTCTTCTCGGGCTGAGAAGGCTCCTCGGTCGACGTTTGCTCAGAGAGAGCCTTCGGGTCCTTAGTCGGAGATCGAGCGGCTTCCGGCGACTTCGAGCGCTCCCTCTCGCCAGCTGGCTTGTCCTTCCCATTGATATGGGGTTCGGCGCTCGCGGCTTCTGGCTCAGGAGGTGTACCTTTCGGTGCTTCGCCATTGGGGGCATCGCTCTTCTCCGCTTCGTTGCTGTCGACAGCAACACCATTCTCGGCCCTCTCTCCTGACTCAGAGGGTGGTGTAGGAGCCATGTCCTTCGTCGGCGCATCAGCAGTCGCTTCTGACGACATCTGAGACTCAGCAGCCTCTCGCTCGGCCCGCTGATCCGCCAAGAACTGAATGAGGAAGTCCCGCACATTGTCAGGAGGCTTCACAGGATCGCCCTTCCTTGGCCGCAGCTGCCCTCCCTCGTCTTCTTCGTCCTCGTCCAGCTCCATGGTCTCGAACTGCGTCGGCACAGTCTCCTCACCACCGACGACCTTGAAAAGGGTGAAGAATGATCGGATCGTGGCTCCATAGAACTGCTCGTCCTGGCAGTCAAGTACCCCTGGCGTCAGTTGGCAGGGACCACCCAGAGACTCACAGCAACCATCCTGGCCGTAGCGGTCGATGAACATATCCGGCGTCCATGAGCCTCGGAACCGTCGTCGGGTGCCATATGCAACTATTGGCTCCCCGCGCGCCCAGAGGTCGTCGAAAGTATCGTTGTCTAACTTGTCGGCGTCGATGTACATGAACGGGTGCGTCTCCAGGCCAGCAGGGTCCTTTTGTGACGGAGCAGACTTGGACGCCTCGTACAGCTCGGCAAGCTGCTCGTCCGTAACGTGAGTCACTTTCGGTTCTGGTGGCGGCTGATTCTCGAACCAGTCACGGACTGCCTTCTCCAACTCCTCGTCGCCGCCTAACGTCAGTGCTTTGATGGTCTCCTCCACGTCGGCTCCGGGTTCGAGAACAAAGTCCATCAGTGCCTTCCACTGCTCCTTCAGCTCATCACCACGGAAACGCGAGGCGGGCTGCAGGTCACAGCGGGCATGCTGGAAGTTGGCCTTCGAAACTCGTCGCCCTGGAGCCGGGAGCTCCAATGGCAGTGTGTCGTCGCCTCCGCGGCTACACTTGTGTAGTCGTGGTTTGGCGGCATCTGGCAACGGCCAGGGCGAAGTGAGCAGGTTGTCGGTCGTGTCGCTCATGTACCGCTCGCACTGGAGGCAGTAGTCACGTCCACACTTGCGGCAGAAGAAGTAGCCACCGAAGATGGTTGACGCGCAGAAGTCACAGAGCGCTCGGTGCTCGGATGCGTCTGTCCCTCGATAGATGGCTTTGTTCTTCACAATATGCCTCAACTCCTGGCTGATAGGGTGCAACAACACCGACGCAACCGTTCGCTGGCGTTAGCTGACATCAACCGCTGTAGCTCACCTCTGTCCTCTTCATGTGCTCCTCGGTGAGCCTGGTGTTGAAATTGGTGGGCATAGGCTTGACTGGGTCTGGGTACTCGATGTCCTCGAAGTGCCCTGGTCTCAGAATCTTGCCAGTCTGCGGGTCGATACTGCGGTCAGTTCACACTATGTCGACGCAACTCACTCGAAGACTCTTGTCAGGCGGAATCGACACGAGTCGCCTCCCAACTTGGCAACACACTGCACGCACTTGCCCCAGACGCCATAGCGCTGGCGGAGGCATGGTGTTTGCTGAATGTCCTTCGACTTGCCCTTACACATCTGGAGAATCCTAGCATCCGTCAAGGTCTTTGCGCCTATCCGTCAGCGTTGCATCACCTTCCGTACTTACGAGGTGCCACCTTCTCTGGTGGCGGGGCCATATCCCGGATGATGTTAAGCTGAGCGTCCAGACGCTTCCGTGATCGAGCAGCTGGGCTGTCAGTTCCGGTACCGCAAGGTAAACTTACCTCTGGCTGGCCTGACGTTCGGACCCAGCTCTTCCGGCTCCTTCTTCGCCTTCTTGGGTGCGCTGCCTTCCTCCACCTCGGAACCCGCTCGTGACGGTTTCCGCTTGACAGGTGGCGGTGTCGGCTCCTTTTGCTTCTGCTCCGAGAAGTCGATCTCCTGCGGCAGATCTGGGATGTCGGACAATGGTGACGTTGGTGCCAATGACGGCTCGCGTATCGGTGACTCGACGTTCTCTGCTTGTTGATCTGGCGGCTGCTCGGGCTCGACGTCCATCGCAGTATTGTCAGCCTCGCCGTTAACGCCCGTTTCGACGTCTCCGGTTTCCTCCGTGGGGGCGGCATCCCCATTGGCAACCGGCTCCGCAAGCGCAGGCTCCTCGACCTGCTCCTCGACTTCGACAGCCTCCGCCGTGTCCACCGGCGGCTCGAGGACCTCTTCGGGCTGCTGCTCGTAGTCGACCTCCATACCGGCGTGCTCGTCCCCATCGTCGTACTGCGTGAGAACAGCCAGACTGCGGTACAGTTCAGGGTTATCCTCGTAGTTGGTCTCGGTCTGATGCTCGGGTTCGGGTTCAGGCTCTAGGTCGGGGTGGGGATCGAACGCGAGTTCGTCTTCCTCGTCCTTTGGTGGGAGCGGTGGTGGAGGTGTCGCATCTGGGTTGAACTCTGTGGGCAGAGGAGCGAGCTCAACAAGAGGTGATTCTTCAACTTGCGCAGACTCTTCGATCGGTTCACTTTCTGTATCCTTGGCTGGTTCGTCTGATGGGGCAGGCGCCGGCGCCGACGGCTCTCGCGACTGCAGCACAACTTCCTCCGGCACCGCAACCTCGGGCGCAGCCGTGGTGCTTGGCGCAGCAGCCGGGGTCGCAGGCTCGGTCGAGGGAGCTCGAAGCACCAGCTCTGCCTCCATTTCGCGTCGGTTGCCGGCGTGAGTAGTCGATCGGACGGATTAGAGTGATAGCAAGGGCGACGATGCAACTCTGAACTGGAGTTCGAGGTGGCGACCACCTAACCGTACGCTCCTGCTAAGACGTCAGAGCCGAGGACTGGACGCGCCCGTCTTGTGTATGTTTCGATTACCGTGCCTGGATGGGTGTGAATTAGAAGATCGGCTAAAGAATATTGCTTCCGCTAATCAGATGGAGGTGAGGACAATCGCAGGTCGTTTTTCCTAATTTCCGAGCTCTGGTGTTCACGGCGTCTCTCAACCCGTTAAAAACACTCGTCTCGCCGTCTCCGTCCACCTTCGAGCTCAACAGCTGGGTCATTCGCATCGCCCAGTGTACGGAAACCGCGCGCTACCTTGTCTCCGACCTCAACTATCGTAAACGAACCCTTTCTTCCCCCCTCCCTCCACCTTTCAATTCCCCTTCCACCATGCGTCTCCCGACTCTCCTCGCCTCGCTCCCCAAGGACGGCAAGCACGCCCTCGTTCGCCCCCAGATCTGGCCCGAGAACTCGTTCTACCGCGTTACTAAGACCAACCTCAAGTTCCGGGAAGTTCAGGGCCCTGAGCCCAATGAGACGTACCTTCGGGCAAAGGGCAAGGCCTGGGGCCAGCTCTTCTGGAAGGGTGAGTAGCGTGCTGCTGTGAGGCACAAGAAGTCGGCTGCTGCAGCCGTTCGCGCTACAGCTTGGTTAACATTGGCCTCGCAAGCTGACAGTCAGGAAAGCAGGTCCACCCCCGTGACAGGCACTCTCCGCCGATCAAGAACGCGCTGAAGCACAAGTGGGAGATTGTCCCTCCGACGTCCGTCGCTTCGATGTCGTCCGCCTTCGCTGCTGCCGACCAGGCTCAGGCCCAGGCTGAGGCCGCCGCCAGGGCTGAGCTCGTGAAGAAGCGTGAGGCCAAGCGTGTCCGTGTCGCCGAGGCTGCTGAGGCCAAGAGGCAGCTGCAGGCGATCAAGGACGAGAAGATCGCCAAGCACCAAGCCTGGATGGACGAGCTCTACCGAATCGCCAAGGCGAAGAGGCTCGCCAAGCAGAAGGAGCTGAAGGAGCAGGAGACTGGCGAGGCCCAGTCGAGCCAGTAGACACATTCGGATTTGTATGCACATACCTTCTCATCGGAACTGACCGTCGACGGACAACATGGGAGAGACATTACTTTACATCAGGTTACAAGAAGGCTACGGATTACAACAGACAGAACATCCTCGATACACCAGCGACAATTACCGGGTGAACCTGAACTTTTGCAGCGCCGCGCATGTCATGCCATGAGATTTTGGCTTCGTCGGCTGAGCAGGTTTGACGAAAGGTGCACGCTTCGACGCGTCTGGACCTTTCAGATGCGGCGGTTCGTCCGCTACGTTCATGTCCTTGGACGCCAGCACACCCAGGGTCGATGTGAGAGGGACCTTTGTCGTTCTCGGAATTGGCGCAACCCTAGCCGCTTTGGGTTGCGGCGCAGTGGACGAGGAGGCGGGTGACGAGGACGACGCCGAACCGAAGGAGTACCTGGCCCTCCACCCCGCCGCGACGATCGTAGCCCTCCGCTGGGCGGCTCTCTCTTCATCAGTTTGCTCGTCCTCGACCACGACAGTTCGCTTCCTCTTCGATTTCTTCTGCTCGGCCTGTGTGGGAGTCACTATCTCCTCTTCGACCACTGAGTCGGAGGAGAATACGGCACCGAGTGCAGTAGCTCCCGATGAGGCTGGGACGAGGACGTTGATCTTATGGGAACGAGAAGGCGTCGACCGATCTGAGGGCGGTAACGCGAGGTGCGGTGCTTCAGAGTACTGAGACGAAGCAGCGACCAACACACGCTTCGTGGGGGTAGGGGAGGGCGGCTCGGAGCGCTCGGTCGGTGCTGGTGACGGAGGCCGACCCCATTGCTCGGCTTGATTCTCGATCGGAGAAGAGAATGGGATCCCTTTGTACGGGGTGGTGCTCGGCGATGAGATGTGCGATGTCGGAGAGGACATGCGGATCGGCGATGGGGATTTAGCCTCCTCTGCGAAAGGAGGGGAGGCGAACGGTGACGAAGATCGATTGACCTCTGGAGTCGGCGATCGCAGTGTCTCCTCGTGCTGTGACTCGACGTCGGGCATCTCCTCGTCGTGAATGTCCAGGTGGTTCTCCTTCTCGTGCGAGAGGGAGAAGTACTTGCTGGCGGTGCCGCTCTTGGCGGTGGGCTGCGACTCGCTACGAGTCGGCGGTTTGCGGGTGCCCCCAAGCTGAGACAGAGACTTCGGGCCAGACGAGAAGCTCCCGACGCGACCCACGGCGGGGGCGATGCGAGCTGACTCTGACCTTTGGATGGAGAATCCGAACGTTTCCAACGTTCCCGTTGGCCGAGCATCAGTAGGAGCACTGGGCTTGCTGTCCCTGATATCGATCTTGCCGTCGAAGTTTGGCCACAAATCCTCTATCGGCTTCCGCGACTCGGGGTGGAGATCTCCCAAGGCCATGCCCTGCGCCACCATTGGCTCGACGTCGAGACCGATCCACTTCTCATCGTCGCCGCTGAGACCTGAAGCGGGGAACTCGCACAGAGGAACGAGCCGCTTCTCGTGCGGGCAGTACACCCTCTGATGCAGGAAAGCGAGCTCTGCCTGGTTGAACGCCTCAATGTAGCCGTCGGGTACTAAGTGCGCTCCGTCGAGACGTATACTCTGAATGACCTGTCGCGTGTCAGCTGACGAACTCCGTGCATGAAACTCACCCTCTCAACCGTCTTCAAGCGCCGCAGCAGGCGGTGGGCTTTCTTCAGTCCGATGCCAACGATGGAAGGCAGGTAGTCGCAGCCTGACAGCATCTGTTGGTTAGCTTGCATCCGCACTATTGAGCTCACCGCCATGCGTCTGAACTGCGTATCCGTCCACCCATGCATGGGCAAGTCGCGTACAGTTGCGATATTCGTCCTCTTGACGTATACGCAGTTGCCATCCTTGTCCATCTTGAATACGACCGTCTTGCATCCGAACACGAGCAGGTCGGAGTCCTCCGTGATGATGCCGTCAACGTAGCCTTCCTTCTCGAGAAAGCACAGCTGCGCGTCGGCCTCGTAAGGAGCGACAATGTAGTCGACGTTCTCGACCTTGAGGGCCTTCCACGTTAGCTCTGCTCCTCAGATAGTCCTCACCTTGATCAGCTGGTACGCCATTTCCGGCGTGATGTCGATACACTTGGTGTAACAGTCACGTGCGTCTTTCAGCCGTCCTTGCGCCTCTAACGCAAGCGCTCTCGCCATGTGGTCTGCTCGAGACCTGCAAGGTCAGTACAGCCTCCTGGATTCCCAGCTACTCACTTGGCTCGCGAGTCTTCAGTGCCCTTCTTGGCTGGAAGCGGTCCACCGTCGAACACAATGAGGGGCTCGACGTTGTTCATGCGGAGCATGCGGACGCGCTGGATGGCGTACTTGACGAACGCGACTGTCTTCTTGCCCTTGACGAGGTCCTCGGCGCACCCGAAGGCTCCCTTGTGAAGCCAGACGTAGGCGTCGACGGCAAGCCTGCGCGTAGAGTCAGCTAGCTATTCCCTCCGTCGCGTCCCCTCACGGTCAGCCACAGGCGCGATTTCGCGCCTGGAGCTGCACGCACCTCTTTCCGGCGAAATCCCTGATGTGACCAGGCTCCTGAGCCTCCTTCAGCAGAGGCAAAAGGCCTGAGATACCCATGGTGATGTGTACCTCCTGCCTGGTATGTGGTTTATGCAATGGGGGAAGGTTTACACTGGTGTTGGAGTACGACAGAAGTCAGGCGCGTCGCAGTACATTGTCAAACATGACGGGCGGCGCGGGCGGGAGCAAATGCGCGCTGGGGTGGCCAAGACTCCCACATGGCGATACGGGGCAGGTCGATTTGGTCCCGCCCCGTACGTATGCGCTCATCCGAGCTGCCCATCGTCGTTGCCGTCATCGTCGGTGTAGCTGTCGTCTGTCTCTCATCTAAGGCCATCCACCATGTCCCTCCCAAGGGTGAGCTAGCAACACTGGCTTTAAGCTGACGGAGACAGTCTCAGTATGACCCGCGTCGCGTGTTCCGCTTCAGCCTCCCTCACATCGAGATCGGACCCCGGGCCCGCGAGGTCGGAACGTACACCGCTGGTGCTCTCGTGAGTACTGAAGTTCAGGAGCTATTCGGGCAAGCTTGAGTAGCGGAGCTGCCTATGTGGCTGCTGCTACTATCTCCGTGCTCTTGCTACGTCGATGCTAGATGCTCTGCTCGTTTGCCGGAACGCAGCCGCCGGTGTGGAAGAACTCGAGGACTAATTCCAGTTCACCATTGCGTGGTTCCTCATGATCGATGCTGCGACGATCAGCAAGCACGCCACCCCTCCCCCCGACTCCCCCTACGACACTGTTCCCGTTCACATCACCTTTGTGGACTGGATCCCGGGGCTCTGCTCGACCCGTGAGTTGAGTAAACAGGTGGTGAACTGACGAGCCAGTGGGCTACCTCGTAACTGCCCTCCTCGACAAGTCGCACCTCCACAGCGTGTTCTCGGGTGACTCGTGGGGAAGCGATGGTCCGGCGGCGTGGCGTGCGCGTGTCGTGCTCTTCCTCGGCGTTGCCCTCATGGCCGGAGGTCTCGCCGGAAGCTTGGTGAGTTAACTATCCACGTACTTTCCAACTGACTTTCAGACTGTCCTCATCCTCAAGTACATCATCCCCGACTACGTCGGCTACTTCTACTACGGCGGTGCCAACGTCGGCATGAACGCTGGAATCATGATTTCGTGAGTAGTTACGCGACTGCCGAATAACTGACACCAGTGCCATGATCCTCTGGGTCTCGCAGAGCGGCGGCGACGAGTACGAGTACCAGCTCACCGTCTAAGCCCCGGCCGCCGTGTGGGGGAGTCGAACTTTGTTGCTTATAAGAGTTGGAATGTCATGCATGGTGTAGAGTACGACGGCGTGGACAAACTGAAAGGTTCACACAACACGGGTGGCCCGACTACAACAGCTATGGATTAGCGGTGAAGCGAAGTTGGCCAGCATACAGCAAGTAGCATGCAGCACGCAGTGCACTCGAAGAACACTGTTGCACCTCGTGGCATCAGCAGAGGGAATCAGAGACGACACACCACTCCATCCCATGCAGCCATTAGTGACACGGTATGCAACAACAGTATAGCGTACGATGATATGCATCGATCAACAAAAGAGGAGAACGAAAACGAAAAAGGAGCATCTGCGCCCATAAGGGGCGGAGGTGCCGTTCGAATCGGGCTCACACAGCCTGAAGCGGAAAGAAAGGGGTAAGTTTACTTGGTGGTGAACTTGGTGACGGCCTTCGTGCCCTCAGAGATGGCGTGCTTGGAGAGCTCTCCGGGGAGGATGAGGCGGACGGCGGTCTGGATCTCACGCGACGAGATGGTCGAGCGGTGGTTGTACGAAGCGAGCTTGGAGGCCTCGGTAGCGATACGCTCGAAGATGTCGGCAACGAACGAGTTGAGAATGGCCATGGCCTTGTTCGAGATACCAGTGTCGGGGTGGACCTGCTTGAGGACCTTGTAGATGTACGAAGAGTACGACTCGACACGCTTCTTGGTGCGCTTCTTGCCGCCCTCCTTGGTAGAGGAGGTCTTCGCGGCCTTGGCGGGAGCCTTGGAGGCGGCGGCGGGGGCCTTGGAGGCCTGCGAGGCAGGGGCCTTGGAAGCGACAGAGGACTTGGGAGGCTGCACGTTAGTTCAAGTCGACGCAAGTGTTTGGCTCACCATTGCGGTAGTGTAGTAGTGCGGAGTGGAAGACAGGTGACGATGGAGGAAAAAGGGGAGGTGGTGTTGCCAGAGGACAAGTTATATTGCGTGAGTCGAAGATGCGACCCGGCGGATGTTTGTGACGCGCGATGTGGTGTGTGAGCGAGTATGATGCCGCAAGCCTCGCGCCGTGCATCAGGGATCAACCGACCCAAGTGGTGACGCGTTTCCTAATTACGTCGGCACTAAATAAATCCGTGCCTGGCCTTGGATCACATCACCACCAGCGGCGGATGCATGTTTGGGCGACCGCGTCACAGAATGCACAAGTCGCACACTCGTCGCACCAAGTCGGCCTTGTCGCTGTTGCACACTTATTAACCAGCCCGCACCACCGACCCCATCTTTTTTCTCCAAGTTCCATCTCTTCAACTCCCTCACACACACCCGTCAATCAAACAACAACAATGTCTTCCGGTGGCAAGTCTGGTGGCAAGTCTGGCTCTGAGACCAAGTCGACCTCGCGTTCGTCCAAGGCCGGTCTTCAGTGTGAGTACTCCGTCTTCCTTGCTTTAACTAACTTGTAGTCCCCGTCGGTCGTATCCACCGTCTCCTTAAGCGCGGCAACTACGCCCAGCGTATCGGTTCCGGTGCCCCCGTCTACCTCGCTGCCGTCCTCGAGTACCTCGCCGCCGAGATCCTCGAGCTCGCCGGTAACGCCGCCCGTGACAACAAGAAGTCGCGTATCGTTCCCCGTCACCTTCAGCTCGCCGTCCGCAACGACGAGGAGCTGAACAAGCTCCTCGGCTCGGTCGTCATCTCCCAGGGTGGTGTCCTCCCCAACATTCTCTCCGAGCTCCTTCCTCCCAAGACCAACAAGAAGGCCGGCAAGGGCGCTCCTGGCTCCCAGGACGTTTAAGCGGGCGCACTTTCGGCGACTCTTTCTTTTCTATACACTTCGTTTTCGCTAGTCTCCCTTTTGATGTCATCCGTCGCGATGCAGACTTGACCTTTACTCTTTGCTGCAGTGGTGCATCGTTGCATGTTCTGACGTTCTGACGGGTGGCTTGGACTCGGGCTGACCACGGTCTCGGTCGGTCAGGTTCCATCAGGCTCGAGGTGGAGGTCGTCCACCGAGATGCCTCCGTTGGTGGCACTTGTGCCGCAGGTTTACACTCTGCTGCGCTCACTTGTCTTCTCGTGGTGCATGCTATCCATTCCGAACGGTTTGACCCTACATCAAAATACACCTTGCTGCTCCGTAAACCCAACCTTGCCGATGCATGTATCGTTGAGCACGTGACGTGATCGACTTGGCACTTTGATGAGACGTTAGCCGGTGCCTTCTCCATGAGGGTGTAGGCGGGTGTGCGCCTCTGGATCCTATTCTGTCGGTGCGATGATGATGCCTGGTGCTCTCCTCCGGTATGGTTTTGCTGGTAGCTTGCGGCTTGCCGGGCTCGGCGGTGCTTTCATATGGTTGGGAAGGACACTACCTGCTAGACAGCTTGTGTGGCGGCCATTGGACACTGGGCGGTGACGAATCGTTCCAGCCCGACAATGGATATCGTGGGTGAGTAGCTACACTGGAACCGTATCCACTCTCCCTCCCTCACTTCTTGCATGTTCTCGGAGCTCCGGGAGTCATGTCCGCGCCGAAGTTAATTGTTGAAGGTCACGGGGCCAAGAAGGTCTACCTCGAGAGCTGTCAGTGACCATGCCGGTGCCAGTCGAACCTGTGCATACTTTGAACCTCTCTGAGGTCTTTTCGTGTGTGTGATGGGGCGTTCTGGGCCGTCGATGCTCGCCTGGGGTTGTGTGAACTGGAGAGTGCACTTGCAGCAGTTGAAGTACTGCCATTTCTTCTGCCACCAACCCCCGTTGTCAACAGTACGAGGAGTCACAACTCTACGCCTGTCAACCCGAGTACGCCCAAAGGCCGGAAAACATGTGCATGAGCATTCTAGAGTACCCAAAATGCGCTGACAGGCGAGGATACGACAGTGCTGGGCCGTATGCAAGCTCGATACACCAATGAGACACTGAGACAGATGCCACCAGCGTGCCTCACAAGATCACTGCGCCCCTTTGCCTCATCTCATGGGGGCCAAACTCACGAGACAGACCAGCAGCAATAGAATCAGCTGGCCACATAAACACGAGTATGCATGCGCAACATGGTAGGCGCAAAATGAAGAAGTCGTGTACTTTGAGAGGACGTCAATGTGCCACCGACAGTATCAAGTTGCCACGTGGTCCTGCACCTACTAAACTCAACCAACGACGAAGTTAGTTAGTCGGCACTCAACCGCCGCACTGCATATCCTTTACCAAGTCAGTCGAACGACGATGCATGCCTAATTACTATATGAGACATGCTTATTGCGTGCCAGACCCGGCTTCACCACCGCCGAGTTCGAAGCGTCATGACATGAGACGGACAGCTCTACGATCTCCGCACTTTGGTGAGCTGCTGCTGTGAGTGACGCATGGCGCATACCATGCATGGCTGTCGACCTACACTAGCCCCCCTCTCGCACCGAGGAGGCGCAAGCACAGGCCAGCTCGGCGCTTGCGTCGCTTGCGCCTATGAAATGGGCTTGTGACGACGTCCGAAATTGGATCAGGATCACAAGAGATCAGTGATCAGGGTTCACGTGACTTGACGGTGGGAGGCGTTTTGTCGCGGCATGGCTAGATCAGGATCAAGGGCCGCGAGGCGTGATCTAGCTTCAAGCCTGACGGAGCCCGAAATCGGCGTGTTGTGGGCACCTGTGGCACCCTGTCGCCGTCGATTTCTTGCGTTCACTGTACATAACCTCTCAACCATACAGCATCTTCAGTTTCCTCACACTTCCTCTCACTCGACTCCACAACAACCAAGTCACCTGTCACAATGGCCCGTACCAAGCAGACCGCCCGCAAGTCCACCGGAGGAAAGGCTCCACGCAAGCAGCGTGAGTTGTCCAATGTCTCCAAAGCCATCAACTAACCTTCAGTCGCCACCAAGGCCGCTCGCAAGTCTGCCCCCTCGACCGGCGGTGTCAAGAAGCCCCACCGTTACCGCCCCGGTACCGTCGCTCTTCGTGAGATTCGTCGCTACCAGAAGTCGACCGAGCTCCTCATCCGCAAGCTCCCCTTCCAGCGTCTCGTCCGTGAGATTGCCCAGGACTTCAAGACCGACCTCCGTTTCCAGTCCTCGGCCGTCCTCGCCCTCCAGGAGGCTTCCGAGGCCTACCTCGTCTCGCTCTTTGAGGACACCAACCTTGCTGCCATCCACGCCAAGCGTGTCACCATCCAGCCCAAGGACCTCCAGCTTGCCCGCCGTCTCCGTGGCGAGCGCTCCTAAGCTCATGATGGCTTAGCTTCGTAGTCTGAACCACAACCTTCGTTGTCTCTAGAGACACCGCGCCTCGCGCCTTCCTTCGATTTGCTAGCTGCCTTTGTCAGGCCGGATGACGGATATGCAACCGTGCCAGTTTTTGAACACCAATACAGATGCACTTTGCACATAGCTCTACTGACTGTTGCAAACAGGGTTACATACAATGACGCGGCGCTGCTTGATGCCGCGGAGCGGTATGAGTGGGGACCATTGGCCATTGTTGGTTGACGCCGGGACGTGGTCGGTGGCGAAAAGAAGAATGTCGCGGGAGTGGAGGTTGTTTACATCAAATTTGCCGCCGCTCCGTCCGTCACCGCCGTCGACGACCTCGGCGCTGACTCACCCCCGGTCACACTTCACACCGCTCACGTCACTGTCTACGGCTTCCAGAATGCACTCGGCGGTGTGACCGTTCGTCGGTCCCCTCGTCACCTCGCCGCTCCAAGATGTTTACACTGGCACATGGCCAGGCGGATGCCGGCCCGGAACACGCGAAACCCGCATGGCGCCATCCGTCAATTACCGGCCCGAGACTGTACAGTGGGCAACTCGTTCAGCTGACCATACCTCTCTCTCTTCCATCCCTTCCAAACCACACCTCACATCTCACGGCAGCATGAGCTTCTCCCCCTACCGGATCCAGCACGTCAACCTCTCAGTCCCAGTAGGAACTCTAGAGCAAGCCGAGGAGTTCTACGGCACCGTGCTCGGCTTCGCGCCCGACCCCGTGCCGCAGCTGCAGCGCGACTCTCTGCGCTGGTTCCGCGTCGGCGACACGGGGCAGCAGGTGCATGTCTCCTTCGACGAGCCGAACAGCGGCAAGACGCGGTGTCATCCCTGCTTTGCGCTAAGGGATGGGGAGGCGCTGTTGGAGCTGCAGAAGCGGATCTGGGACGCGTTCCAGAAGGGAGGGAAAGCGGCGCCCATGGCTGCTGATGAGCCCGGGAAGGAGAACTCGGGCGCCAAGGTGCGTCTACAATGCGAGAGGGGGCTGACAGCCAGGGGGTCGAGTATCCCTCCCGCTTCTTCTGTCGGGACTATGCAGGCAACAGACTCGAGTTCAGTGTGTGCTAGCCGACAGAATCCCAGAATGCATATTGTGTTTTACGAACTACTCAAGCAGCAGGCAGGTCGTCGAGGTTTCCGCTGCCCCACCTCCACCCGCGACCGACGAGCTTGGCGCGCCCGTTCTCGAGGCGCGAGGTCAGCGCTCCACCGCGCTCGGAGAGCTGGCGCGCGTCGAGCACGGAGTTCTCGTCCCCGCCCGCCTGCTTCACGAACTCGTGTCCCAGACCCTCGGGCTGCAGGTAGTATCCCGTCAGGACGGCCCAGGCGCTTCCCGTCTGTGATGTCAGTTGCAGGCGACAGCTGGACAACTTACGACGGGGTCCTCGTCGATGCCGAGGTTCGGCGCGAAGACACGGTTCGTGACCTGCACGCGCCCGTCCTTCGCGGATAGGACCTGAGTGTACTGCGTGACGTCGGGGACCTTGCGCTGACCGTTAGCTTCAAGGACAACTCTCAGATACCCCACGCGGACTCACGAGAATGTCAATGTCGGGCTTGAGCGTGGCGAGGTCCACGGTCGGGTCGAGCTGGACAATGACCGAGGGCCCGCCAAAGTCAAACTCGGCGTGGCGCAGGACCTGTTCCGGCCTCAGGCCCGCCGCGTTGGCAGCGAGGGTCGCGTATCCCTCGGTCAGCTCTCCCACCTCGGCCTTGCCGATGGGCAGGTCGAGGCCGATCTGCACACCCTGTCCGCGCTCGCTCTCCAGCGTCGCATAGAGGGGACCGACGAACTTGGTCTCGAACTCGAGCTTCGTCGCGGTCGGCTCGTAGGAGTTGAACAGCGTCGTCGCTGCCGCAAGGGTTGCGTGCCCGCACAGAGGCACTTCCTGTCTATCAGCTGGGACGATTTGAGAAGGCAGCTTGGAGATTGAGGAGAAGACGGAAGAGAAGCACTCACAGCAGCAGGAGTGAACCAACGCAGACCGTACTTCGGCACTCCCTCCGAGGAGCCGTGGGGCACGAGGAAGGCGGTCTCGCTCAGGTTGAAGTCCTTGGCGACGGCCTGCATGAACTTGGCATCAGTCGCGCGCGGGTCGTCCTTGGGAACGACGACGACGGCGGCCTGGTTGCCCGCGCGGGGCGTGGCCGCGAAAGCGTTGATGAGCTGGAAAGGAAGGGGCTGCTGGTCGCTGGGCATGGTTGCTGTTTCAGTTGATGTGAAGCTGGGGTGTGAGTTCCGTCCGGAAGCACGGGGCGAGTATATATGCTGCTGGCTGCGGTGAAGCGGGCTAACTCTGGGATATGAAAAGCGGGCAAGACCGGGCAAGGAATGTTGATTGATAAGACAGAAGTGGACGGCCGGGACAAGAAAGTCGAGTACATCGGCACTGGACAGCGACTCGATTCCGACTCGTGACCGACCGCACATCTCACGCATTTCGACGCCAGGCGGGCTTGGCCGGTTGCGTCATACGCACCCCCCCTGCTTGCCGACATCTCTCGCTTGGCCACACTGGGGGACCGATTTGCGTCCGCTCACCCAGCCTGGTGGAGGCGAACGCGGCCACGCGAGCCACGCGAATTCAGACGCGTCTCACAGCTCATGAAATCAAGTCCAGTCAACCCTCTCGCGTTGCCTTCACTCCACAACAACAAGCGACCATGACGCAAGCGGCGACGACGAGCACGACGGCAAAGTTCGCCGATGCCGAGGGGTATGAGATGCCCTGGTGAGTCCTGGCTCTAGTATCCGTAGCGGAATACCCAGCTGCCTCTCGATAAGCTTAAGCTAACAGCAGGGTGGAGAAGTACCGACCGCAGTACCTGTCCGACATTGTCGGCAACACGGAGACGGTGGAGCGTCTGAAGGTCATTGCGGAGGACGGCAACATGCCGCATATCATCATCAGCGTGAGCTCGTTGAGCGCAATCGCAAGCTGACAGCAGGGTCTCCCCGGTATCGGCAAGACGACGTCGATCCACTGTCTCGCGCATGCGCTTCTAGGCGATGCGTACAGGGAAGGCGTGCTCGAGCTGAACGCCTCTGACGAGCGTGGCATTGACGTGGTGCGAAACAAGATCAAGTCCTTCGCTCAGCGCAAAGTCACGCTCCCGCCAGGCCGGCACAAGATGATCATCCTCGACGAGGCGGACAGCATGACGGCTGGCGCGCAGCAAGCGCTCCGCCGCACGATGGAGATCTACTCGAACACGACGCGCTTCGCGCTCGCGTGTAACATGAGCAACAAGATCATTGAGCCGATCCAGTCGCGCTGCGCCATCCTGCGCTACTCTAAGCTGCGCGATGCCGAGGTGCTCAAGCGCCTGAAGGAGATTTGCGAGGCGGAGCGAGTGAAGTATAACGACGAGGGACTTGCCGCGTTGATCTTCACGGCTGAGGGAGACATGCGACAGGCCATCAACAACCTTCAGAGTACTTGGAGTGGGTTCGGGTTCGTGTCGAACGACAACGTGTTCAAGATTTGCGACCAGCCCCACCCCATCATTCTCCGCAACATGATCCTCGAGTGTTCCAAGGGAAACGTCGACACGGCGCTCGAGACGATTCACTCCCTCTGGGACAAGGGATACTCGGCCGTCGACATTGTCGTGTCCATCTTCCGTGTCGTGAAGGGCATGGACGACCTGCCAGAATACACAAAGCTGGAGTTCATCAGGGTGAGTAGATGTGTGACAGCTGCGGAAAGATGATCCCGGAGCTGACGACCAGGAAATTGGATGGACGCACATGCGTGTCTTGGAAGGCGTCGGAACGCTGACCCAGCTCGGAGCCATGATTGCCAGACTGTGCAAGATGGCCATCCCGCCCGAGAAGCTCAAGCTCTAGTTCCATCACCCGTGTACTATACAACTTATGCATCTACCCTGTACATCATACACAGTGTTCAGTGTGAGAGCGCTACATGCGCTTGCGGCCGCGAGATGATGGCCGCGGGTCGGTCCACTTCCAGTCCGTCACTAAGAGCTTTGTGGGAGGATAAGGGGGAAGGTCGGGAAGGTCAAAGTCAGGCTCGACATACTGCACCGCCCACGACGCAAAGGCAGAGTCGATCGCCTTGCTCCCGACGGGCAGCCGCCTCAGCCTGTGCACTCCGTTCCAGTGTAAGGCCGCTAAGTGTTGCATTGGTGCCGAGCGGCGGTGCACCTCGTCTGCGAAGGCCGGAGTGAGTGTGCACTGCTGTTAGCTCGCGGCTGTGTATCAAGCTTACCGGCTCGCCGTTCTCCTCGACCCATTCAGCGAGCATCTCGCAAGCCCGAGAGACCAACTCCATGCACCCGATCGAGTCCAAGGCGTCATGCCACTCTTTGTCGGCGTCAGGGTCGCCTTCTCCGTCCTTCTCGACATCATCGAACTCATCGCGGATGACGTCTCCGTCCTGCAGACCATACACCTCCCAGGACCGATTGCTGCTGAAGCCCTGTCTTCCCCTCCCTTGTGACGTGAAGTGGTTGAGTTCTTGGAGAGGCTCGTCTTCCTCCTCGTCCGAGTACTCCCACTGCTTCTCCCAGTCAGATTGATATATCGGAATGTCGCTGTCGTAGTCCGAGTCATCGTCTTCGCGAAGCAGAAGCACCTTCTCGACGAGCTGGTCCCAACCGTCAGTGTCGAGAAGCGCGGGACAGAGGGTGGAAAGAACGTCTTTGCAGAGGAAGAGCAGGCTCTCGAGGTCCATCTGTGTGCCGTCGGTCTCGAACATGGGCGGCAGGGGTTGCGGCGGATCAATGTATCGATGGAGATGGGGCGGGGCGAGCTCGAGGAGCGCTAAGAGGAATAAGACCGAGGCCTGAGTGGTCGCGTGGTACAATGGGACATTGGGCGAGTCGAGACCAAGCGAGATGAGCATCGGTGGGGATGAGGATTTGGGCGGCGGCGAGAGCGGCCGAGGTGAGCGCCGATAAGGGAGGTCGTCCGGAGACGTCAGAGTCATGGTGAGTGATGAGAGTGTGAGTGTGAGTGAGGATGGAGAAGGAAGGACAAGACGATCCGAGGATGCAGCATGGTTTAAGACATGGGGCACTAGGAATGGTGTACTCGAGTAGCGGCGGTGGAGACGCGAAGCGAGGGAGGAAGACGGATTGGGAGATAAAGGATTGCCGGTAGTCGGTGCGCAGCGTGCGGCGCATGCGTGCAGTCTTGGGGGTGAGTCATCCACTGCGATGCGCCCAGGCGCTGGGCGCTGTCTCTCGTCTGTTCACGCGCTGCGTCCTGGCCGCGCTGGCCGGCTGCTTCATGTTATCCAAAGCTGTGTTTCGGCTCCTGCATTCCTCTGCCTGCGTAGTTCATTCAACTCGTTCCATCGAGGCAGGCACGCTCATAGAACACTGCGCATGCTTTCGTGCGATCATGATCTGGAATTGGAAGGGTGAGAGCGAGGGAAGGCGGGGAGGATCAGCGTGGTTTCATGGGAATCGAGGCGCAAAGGAGCGCCTGCTCGGCCGGCTTCTTGGGGATCGGTGAGTGATCGGATCGAGAGAACCGGATATCGTCAGTGACTCACCGGAGCACTATGGGCACGTGCAGCCGGCCGCGTCTCAGAGGAACTCCCAAACGGTAAAAGTCGCTAGCCAATACCGTGTGCACTTTTGGGGTTGGTGCTTCGGACAATGGTGAACTTTGCTATCGGAACGCTGCAGGCGCTGCCGTCCTAAGAGACGTCTCTCTAGTGCATAACGCTCAGAGACGCCGAGATCTGAGACCTTGGAACCAAACAAAGGGCGAGGGGTGAGCCACGCGGTTAACGCCGTAACTCCGTTCGCCCTCGTGCGAGCGCAGACCTCCACTCTGCGTGCCGGCTGCAGGGTGTATAAATTTCAGAGCGGTGGTCGCTTGTCCTCCTTTCTTACCAAGGGCCCGGTTGCTGTTCTGTGTGCGCGTATATCGCCTCATTGGCGGCAACATTCGACTGATTGGAAGCGCTAGAGGGCTTCACGGCCCTCGCTGAGCGCATGATTCCGGTCGACGGGACACGGCTTCCCCGAGATAAAGTCCTTGGTGGATCTCCGTCCTCTGGACGTCGACGAACCACTGGGGACCTACCGTTATTCTGTATCCTGGCCTAGGTCGTTGACCCATGAGGTTGTGGAGAAACCAACGGTCTGACATTTCCACACCCGACGCGCATCGTTTCTGTACTTGACAACCCAATGTTATTCTCGTTCGTTCAAAATTTGCTGGTCACCCACGACCTTGGTCGCTCTCTTGGATCCTTTATGCACAGTTTTTGACTTATTCCTCTGGCGGGACGTCAGTTCTGCAGCCCTTACAACGGAACAGTGCCGGAGAATCGAGCAGGAGACTCTGCGCGCGAGAGCATTGCAGAGGGACGGAGCTATCGCCGCTGATAAGATTTCATGATCTGTTTCGTCATCGCGTTCACAACAATTTCGACATCACTCATACCGCCTCACATCTTTGTTCGGCTCGATACTTCACGACCTCACGACCGCAACTGGCTACGACTCGCTGATTTAATACTGTTGATCTTCGTCTCTGACTCATTGGTTTCACCCGCTCGCAATCATATGCACCGATAGCACCGGCACCTCATTCGACTGTCGACCTCATGAGCTCCGCTTCGTTCCAACGCCTTGCGCTGCGGCCGATACTGCCTCCTCACGCCCCTCGACCGCCGTTGCCGAAACGCAGGCTTGAACCGTTCTTTAGACAGCCATGGCATAAGCACGCCGTTCGATGGGGCTTGTACCGGCCACTCATGAGGGCCTTGGGATGGACTCGACGGGACGCAACGGACATGAGCATCAACCGGCTACGACTGGACGCCGAGGGGAAAGCGCGGAAGAAGATTCGGATAGGTGACTCGCTGGTGTACACGAAGGTCAACCATATGAAGAAGAAGGAGTTCGACAGGATCTCGGCGGCTGCCGCTGAGTCTGCTGCGTCTTCGAAACCGCCGAGCACGCCGTATCCTGCTCTTCTCCAAACGGCTCGGAAACGGTTCCGGAAACATCGGGGCCAGACATCGTCCGACCGCGTCATCTATCTTCTGAAGGAGTACGAGTCAATGCTCGGCGACCTTACGGGTGGCTCTGCGATGGCGGCACAGCGCCTGTGGGAGGCGGAGAATAAGGCTGCGTCGCACCTCGAGCAGCTGCCGAAGCCGGTCACGAAGTTCACAAAGATCGAAGAGAAGCCTCGCCTGACGGGTGGCTTCCTGCGCCCGACAGTGTTCAACCCGCCATTACCGCGCCTGAAGCCGCAGCCGCTGCGCCTCTCGATGATGATCAAGCGGCGCATCAAGCGGCGGGACGCGCGCATTGAGATGTTCCGCCAGCTCCAGGACAAACAAGAGGATATGCGCAAGGAGGTCGGCTTTCTGCGCAGCCTTGGTATCGACTGGCCCGAGAAGATTGGGGACTGGTCGTCCGGCGTCGGTGCCCGCTCATGGGAGACCGAGTTCAACCGCCAAATGAAGGCCATCGACGAGCAGTTTGCCCGCGAGCAAAAGCGCGCAGAGATGAAGTACACCGACAAGATGTACATCCGCATCATGCGCGCAAAGCGGGAGAAGTACGAGCGTCTCGCGAAGCGTGCCGAGAGGAGGAAGCAGCAAAAGTTGCAGCAGGAGCAACTGGCTGCTGAGCAGGCAGAGGCGGCCCCGGTCTCGGATTCCAGGAAGCCGTGATCTCGTCATAGAAGCGCCATAGATCCGGAGAGTGTACCATCTCCTGCCCACATGCATCGCGACTCCGTTGAGGTACTTGGCAGGTCTTGAGGCGGTGCAGAAACACCAAGGCGTCGGGAAGTCACGGTCGTGCACGAGATCGAGATCGAGATTTGCCACCGCTTGTGCGGGTCGTCGTGACGGTGCATCGGTACGTCATTCCCACCAACAACAATTCATCCTTGACAACAAAACCTTGACTTTGCTCATATCCCAACCGTTCCACTCCTTCCATCCCTTCAAGCTACTACGCGTGCAAGGCGAGCGACATGTTCTTCTGTATTCCCCTCGTGTGGGGCTTCCCTACCAAGGTGAGTGAAACAGGCAAGCGCAAGGAGGACAGTGGACTGGAGGAGCGATCCGATCACGCTGGTCCTAGAGGACGCCGTCGCGGAGTACTTTGATCCGGCCAACCTGTCATCAACGCTTCCCTGGATACAACACCGACCTCTGCACCCGATGTTCGTGATCGATGGGAATCTGGTGGCTAGCAACATGTGGATAGGCTCCATCCAGTCACCAGGGCACCCTGTGATGGAAGCGGTCTGGAAGTTGGATCTGGACCTGGAGTCTATCGCCTGATCGAGCTCAACGTGCATCCACTCTCTCTACGGTTTCATGTGTCGTGCAGTATCTCTCGAAGGAATGATCTGGCCGCCATCAGTTGTCGAGCAGCAGCAGCCGAAGCTTGTTGTCCGGCACTCCCTACGTGTCATCCCGTCGGCGCCCCTTGCCACCCGCTTCCGCGTAGCGAAGTTTGAACTGCGTGCCAAGACTGGTCTTGGCACACCGCCCGCAGCAACGTCGGCCGCGGCCACATTCCAACCTCAACATGTTGGCTCATTCCCGACTGCTGATCACTCGACGTGGTCATGCGTGTTGCTTCGCGAGCATGTCTGGATCACAGGAATTCACCGATGCTTCACCACCGAGGGCAGACCGCCTCGCTCCGCAAGCGCGGCGCTCCCCCGATGCCATCGCTGTCCTCGACCCCTTGCCAAGCCAAAAACTGAGCGTCGCTAACCTTTAGCTCAAGCAGGACCCGCCTGAGCCGGCTCGTCTCTGCCCGAAGTGTCACAATTGTGAGCAGCAGCTATGGGTTGAGTGGACGATGTAGCTGACAAGCAGATGCTGTCCACGGCGCCAAGTCGAGAATGTGGTTCGAGTTCTGCTACGTCCCTCTGATCCCGTGTCGTGGTCACCAGATTTGGATCTGCAGCACCTGCGGTGAGTACGATGATGATGCTGATAGGGAGTGTCGGACATTCGTCGGCGACAATGACGTCGAGGAAAGCCGTGTTCGGGTCGTGACGTCGCCAACGTGGTCGACTCGGCACCGCAGACCACGATGTGCTCCGATTCTGCCTGACCGTGACGGTGTGACTATTTCTGGGAACTGTCTCAGGCTCTATGAAGGCGGCGTCAATGGGTTTCACTCCGCCCCAGTCTGCCGATGTCTGGGATTGAGTCCTCGGCGTGGCACACTTGCCGGTGCGATTTATCCATACAACCGTGTCTCAGCCCGCCGGAGCAGCATACGTGCTCGGGCGTGACAATAGAACCGGTCTCAGCCTTACTGCTCTGTTTCTTCTTGTATTAAGCTGACGATCAGGCTGGCAGATGGACAAGGGCGACGGCTACGACCCCCAACCTCCTGGAGGCAATCAGCAGGGCCGCCCTCCTCCTCCGCCGGGCATGCAAGGCAGCCAGTATCCTCCGCCGCCACACAAGAACTAAGCGCTCGTTGCTCCTCGCTTCGCCACTAGTGGGCAAGTCCTCTCCACAAGGTTAGGTTGTGGAGATCGAGCCACGCCGCCAAGCACACAGTTGAGAGTGGCGGTCATGCAGGATTTAACGTTTGGCTCGACAAAGGCGTTTCTGTGATTCTTTCTGCTGCTCTTTAATACTAGTTATCCCATACTCATAGTACATACATATCCTGGTTTGGAGAAACACAGTTTTCAGTTAAATACACGGGTACAACGCAGCAGCATCGGGTGACGGGGTGACAGACCGCCGCCAGCGGGTACGTACGCCACACCTTGAGTGATTCGACGAGTATCCGAACATTCGAGGGGCATAATTTCGGTTTCGGTTACGGTTAGTGTTCATGAGTTGCTTGCGTGCTGGGTGGGATTGCGAGTTTGGGGGCGAGCATTGCAGAAGAGGCGTGTGTAAGCTCGAGGCGTAACCTTGTTTCTGTGTGCGGTGACGGCGAGGCGGCCATTCATACATGAAGGAGGGCAAGTTGCTGAATTCACTTAGAGTTGCGTGGAGTAACAGTGTCCACTGCGTGGCCGCACTTGCCCAGGCGAGAGGATAAACTCTCCCATGAATGGAGAGACACGTGCGAAGTGCATTGGCATGAACGCCGCGAGCCGACGAAAGCCGGGCAGAGGAGCTATTCTGTGACTGCTTTTGCTTCCTGCTTTTGCTTCTGATGCTGCGCGCAAAGCGACAACATGTGGGCCGTGGGCAAAGCAATGGTCGCCGGAAAGACATTCTCTCGTTCGCACGGATGTTGCAATGCCCGCTCGGCGGAGCAACAACCACACGGCACGAATGGGGTGCACAAAGTGTGGGATGTGGGTTGCGAGCATGCCCGAATCCTAACTTTGGTTCAGTCCTGTGCCGTTGCCATTGCACATTGGTGTTCGCAACTGGTGGAGGCTGTGGGGTGTGTGGGGTCGCTGCTCGTGGACGACCATGCGACAAGACTTCCAGGACCAACAGGACCGGCACGATCTGGCACGGCCGAGCTTGTCCTCGATGTGCGCGATGGCGTCGTTGCAGTCATCGGCGATGGGCAAGGGCATGCAAGGGGCAGGGGCAGGGAGGAACGAAGGTCAGCAAGTGAATGTCAGTCGGGGAGCGATGCAGGGCTACTTCACGAGGCACTCGAGGCACAAGGATGCAACTAGGTGTAAGGATCGCAAGAGCAGTGCAGGCAGTTGAGGACGCAAGGATCGGTAAGGAACGGGTGACTAACTGGCTCCAGGGGAGGCGGCCGGGCGTCGTTGACGAGATTTTCGACCTTTTCGCAGCTGCCCGCCAGCCGCTGCTCGTCTGGCTGCCCGGCTGCCAAGCGCGCACAAGCTCACACGCACACCTGATACGCACACCTGATACGCAAAGGTTACCTGACATGAGTAATCTTGACTGACGTACATCTGTAGTACTGCCAATTGAACCAGCAGCGTCGTACTGATATTCTTGCGCGTGCGTGTGTGCGTGTAAGTGCCATCGCAGCCAAGTCCGTACCGGGCAGAAATGCGGCGCCGGCCACCACCGCCCCCGCCTGCGCCTCGACGGCGAACCGATTGGCCGGGTGCGCCAGCGCGCCAGCCCGCCCAGCTGGCGGCGCCACCTTCGGGGCTCGAGGACGTCCAAGCCTTCGGGACGCGGGTGCACGTTCAAGTTTCCAGTCTGACAGAGGAAGACTCAGGACCAAGGCTCCTGGCAGCTCAGGATCCAATATGCTGAGCCGAATGGGCTTATGACGTCGGGGCGTGCTTCACGGCTCGCTGCTCGCTGCGCCGCTGGCTGCTGGCGTGTCTGTGAGGCTGAGCTTGGCTGTGGCGGCTGATGTGCACTGGCCCCATGGCTACATCGTTAGCCGTTGCTCGAGCACTCCAGCTCGCTGTTAAAAAGGTAGCCTGCTGCCCGCAGGAGAGGGACCCGCCGTTTCGGATTCTAATTCTTTCTGTCTTTTTTCTCTGAAGAACTGATGAAAGGGAGAAATCTGCAGAGACCAAAGAGAACGCGCGATTGACACGAAACGAGCCACCATGAAATGAACGAGATGAAATGAAGGGCCGCAGCAGCTTGGATCCGCTGGTTGGCTGAGAGACGCTCGAAACCGGGTGAATCAAGATGCGGCAGTCACTGCACTCGATCATAACAGCAATTTCGTCCCGGTTCAACACGTTCGTGCAAGACAAGCAAAAGAAGAACACGCCCGGATTCTGTTTTGAGATACTGCTTCTTGCAGCATCCAACAACGTCGCACGAGTTCGGCATGAGGTCGCTGATATTGACACAGGACACGCCTGGGGAGTGCGTACTCATTCAGATGCTGTCAGGTACGTGCCCCAACTCTGTGAGCAATGATTGTGACTCCGGCGGCGAAGTTTGCGACGAGGTGGAGGTCGTAGGGTGGCTGATGAAGGGCCGAACCCAGGGTATTGGCATAGCGAACGCACAGGGGTGGCAGGGTCAAGTCGGTCTGCGACAAGAGAAAACAACAGAATCCGTACCCATCCGTCGCAAGCTCAGACTCGAGTTCTGGCGCTTTTGGCTTTGTCGGCGCTCAGGAGAGCAGCGCGACGCAGGGAGCTGGTACGCCGGCGTCCAGGGTGGCGGCGCCGTGGCTCAGGAGGCGCAGAAAATCCTCCGACAGACGCCGGCCGTCGTTCCTTGCATCTGTGGTCGTACGTACTCCCGCATCTTGTATTCAGCGCACAATTACGCTCCTGCCATCCTGCGCGGCCCAGCGGCTCCAAGCTGCAATCTAGGGGTGGCGCTCTCCGCGTATTTTCCACAGATTCAGACCTGCCCCAAATTCAATCATCGAGGCAAAGAGATAATTTCGGTTTCCGCTGCGCTGGCTCCGACGCTTCCGCTCGCTTGCACCCCTCCCTCTCCACACCAGTTCGGTCGCATCGGTCGGGTGCGGTCCCACTTTCAAGAGTTTCCTTCAAGCAGTGTCATCTAAGTGGGGGAAATGAAAGGTCGATGACATGAGAGCGCAAGGGACAGACCGGAAATGGGGCAGGAGAGAGATGCCCGCTATGGCCGTCATACCGGACATGACATATGGGCACGAAATTAAGCTACTGCGCAATGCATGCCAACTCGGCAGCTCGGCATGTCGATTTCGGCGCGTACGCCGCGCAGTACCTACTCCACAGCCTGTACGTCGCGAAACGCGAACAGAAGCAAACGCGAGATACATGAACGTGCGGTAGCGAGGTGGGTCGCGAGCAGGTCGTCATGCCAGCATGCCAGGGGTTAGATGAGCTTCAGAGCGAGGCCGGCATCGGCGCACCCGTTAGCGCGCCTGGGTCTTTCGGCATGGGCGAGTACGACGCGACACACCAACTGCCGATCGTGCCGGGGTCCGCGTTCGGACCCTCATCTGCGGCGAAACGAAGGTACGCATAATGCTCTTATCGACGCCGCCGCTCGAGCTCACTGCACTGACCGCCTCGCTTAATACGATAGTGCATAGCGGCGCGCACAGCTTCATGTTCCAGCCAGCCCGTGCGTAGCGGCAAAGAGCCAGACGAAGACCGAGCACCCAGCCCCGCGGCTGTCCCGACGCTCCGTGCGCGCGGCGGTGCGGGCGTGCCATCCAGCTAGCGGCCTGCGGGCAGAGCGGGCAACGGACAGAGGCGTTCAGGCAGCGAGGGTTGCACCTCGGCGTCTGCGTCGCCCTAACAGGGGCTTCGGTGACGGTGCCGCGGCGCTTGGTGACGTCTGCAGAGATGTCCACGGTTGTATTATTCAGCGAGATGTCAATCTCGTCAGCAGCGGTTTGGGCGTGTTTGTCAACGGCCCCCATTGCTCTCCCGGGCCGGTCCCGGCGGGGCCAAGGCAGGTCTGCCCAGGAATTGTTGCAGGGTGCCGAGGCTGAGGTCAGGATTCTGTGGTCAGGGTCGTGGACCGATAAGCACCGAAACATGCCACCTTGATTAAGCTCCCAGGCACAATCCAGGAACAGTCCAGGAACACTCGCTGATGCTTTTTGAGCAGAGGCTCTGCTGCGCGCTGCTGCTGAGGCTGCTTTTGTCGTGAGTTGTGCGATCAAGGAACGCCGGGGGTGAGCACTACCGCTGCACTTTGTACCTACCCCGCTACCGTTCCGCCGCCCGTTGTGCCGCTGCATGGCCCGCTTGCGGTGCCCACTGAAACCATGTGCGGGCATGACGCACAAAGCTGCTACCACTTTTAACGTCCATGCAATGTCGCGGGCACGTCCCCGCCCACGTACACCTTTGTCCTACCACCTGAACTCAAGACCCGTCGCACATGTCGTCGGCCTGCTCCGAAATCCTCAGTCCGTCAAAGAGGCTCCCTCCAATCAATCCGCCTGATTGCGAAACTTGCCCTTGCAGCTGGTCCACTTGCCCGACTCGGCGCGCACAGTCCCAGCGCCTCCATCACGCTCACAGCCAAGCCAGCCCGCGGCTGCTCCGGCTGGGCATGCGCCTGCAGCGGCTGCAGGGCAGGTGGCATGCACGATCAGAGCAGCCCTGAGATTAAGAGCTGAGGCGAAAGTCGAAAAATGCAGAAATCGAATCTCGCCGCAAGCGAACTTCTGCCATGGCGCAGGCGCGAACAAGTCGCACGAAGAGCGGGCCCAAATCGACCAGCGGAACACACGGCACAGCGGTATGCATGGGACGCGCTGAGACATGAATGCGGCACGTCCTGAGGTCGAGGTCGAAAACCGGCGAGTTTGGCGAGTGCACCACCTGCATGTTGCTGGCAGGCTGACCGAGTGTCGTGTGTGATGTCTGAGATCTCGATCCCACTGAATCCATGGACCACGGGCCCAGCTCCAAAAAATAGCAATCATTACGAGAAAGATTAGCAGCCCACACGCCATCATGCCGCCACTCCTGACTCTTGCTGCGTCCTGCGATCCTGCGTCCTGCACGCCGAACAGGACCTGCCGCCACCCTCCCGCTGCGGCCGCTACTGTGCCGCGAACCTCGGTCCATCCGTCGTTCCACACTCGGTGCACTCTGTACTCATCCAGAGACCCAGCCCAGGCACGAGATGAAGCTCACGGGTCGCAAGCGCTAACAGCGGCTAGGCTAGTTTCTGCATTAGTCTGACGTTTTAACTTGGCGTCCATTGAGCTCCAGCACTCCAGATTCAGCCTGCCAGGCACGAAATGAGCGTCTATGCGGCAATGCCATCTCATTGCATGCGGCGCGGGCAGCATGAAGCTCGGGCAGCTGCAACGACGCTAGCGTTTCTTTTAGCGCACTCGCGACATGCGACACGCGACACGCGACACGCGATGGCGCTCCAACTTCGGTGCATATGGTGCAACATACAGTTCATAGTTTGCGGCTTCCCCGTAGCGCGGGTCGCTGGGTCGTAGGTTATCTGCGGATATTCCGAGCTCCAAGCTCTGCTGAATGACGCCTGGGAACGGTGCTCGCATGACACCACGTACACCCATGCCATGGCACGATGCTGACACAAGCTGACACAAGCACAACTCTGCCAGGCACAGCAGGAACAACAGGAAGGAACACCAGGAACGGAGGAACTGCGAGGTACAGTGAGGAACAAGAGTTGCGGCCAGTGCTCACTCAGCCCCCAGCGGCGTGATTCATGTTCTGACAAGCGACCCGGCGCACGATCGGCCTTCAGTCAGCAGCGGTCTCGGGATCCCCGCAGGTCCAACCAGGTCCACCAGGTCCGCGAGTAGGCTTGAGTAGCGGCTGCACCTAGATTTGCAGACGCCGAAACCTCATTCTTTGTCTGTTTGAGCCAAATGGCAAGCTTGCAACTTGTGGCGATGTGGCTAGCGAGGCACACGGCACAGTGTGGCACGCAGTGCGCCTCTGGCACGACGTAGTCGTGGCACGACAACTTTGCTGTGTCAGCGAGACTGATGCCAAGCTTGCGTCAGCGCTGAGCTAGGCGTTCGCGGCCACGCTAGGCCGCCATATCTAGCCTCGGCGCTGCATCTGCCTCGGCAGCCCGCGTCGATAGCGTGCTCAGTGCTGCGGCATTTGTGCGTTGTGCGCTGCGAGCTGCGCAAAAGGACGTAAAAGAGCTCGGTGCAGTGGCCGCTGCATGCCGCCGCACGGCTCCGCACTTCCTAGGCTATGAGCTGACTCACGCCGTCGTGGAGACCGTCGTGGGAGTGGGATGCCTCGGCGCACAGCACGAGGAACGAGGAACGTTTGGCGTGAATGTGCTCGGCCTGTGCTTCCTCAACCGCGTCCGTTCCAGCGCAGGGCGGACGCACCGAGACGTCGAGACGAATTGCAAAGCAACAATGGGCGTCGTCGTCATCGAAACACGAACAACGCCGCGGCGCGCGGAGAGGACGGAGGGCGGAGCAACACCGCCCCTGCGCCTGTTTTGGGAGCGTCCAGCGCGGCAGCGCCACCACCCATTGTCCGTGTCCGCCGATCCGAAACGAGCCACACAACGCCCGTTCGTGGGTTATGTGACGAGCCACCAACGTCAGAACGTCAGAACATACGGGAGCGAGGCACGGAAAATGTCCGCCTGCAACCCCGTGTCGCCCGTGTCGACGCACAATCAACAAACTTTAAGCAGCGGCAGGCGTTTTGGGCTGCTGTCATTGTACGTTTCGCGATGCGGATCCGGCGGAGCAGAAATAGGCAGGGAGAGTCTGCCATGATGAGGCACGTCAGGAACAGGCACGAGGCACTGAGGGACTATTCGGTCATCGCTGGCTGCGAGACACGGTGTGCGAGCGGATCTCCATTATCCACTCTGTCTCTCGCATCTCTGTCGCTGGACGGGTCACGATGATGCATGCTTGAAGGGAGGGGGTTAAAGACGTGACGTGCCGAGCGAGAGAGCGAGCAAGGACCGATGAGCGACATTCCACAATCCTATACGACTCAAGGCACATCAAAATCCCCACGGCGTGCCGGTTGCGCCGGTGTGAATCGCAAGGAGGAACAGCGTCCCGAGGGTGCTGCACCAGAGCAAAAGTGGAGGTCAGTCGGGGCCTGGCGCCGAGCACCGGGTCGTGTTCGGCGCAATATCGCGGATTTCCCGGCCAGGACGCCGGTGAATGGGTGGGCCGGTGGGTCTGCTCGGTGACGAGCCGTGGTGAAGCCGGCATACCCAGTCCATGATCAGCGGTATGCCGTCGAGATTGCTTTCTCTTGGCACTGCACAAGTGATTGCCAGTGTCGAACCACAAGATACATTGGCGGCACGTTGGCTAGGCTGGCGCACTTTGTCTTTGCATGATCGCGCATTCTGTAACTGCAACCCGGCCAGTGCCTCACTCTGTACCTGCGCTAGGCCAGCCCGCGTGCCCGCCTCGTCTCACCGAGGCTGAGTGAGGATCAGTGGGCTGCGGGACACTTTCAGCCTGAAAGTCAGCCCGAAGCAGCCTGCAGGACATGGGCTTGGCGAATTGACTGTAGTAGTGATCGTCCGCCGCGCCCGTTCCAGCTCGGTCTCAGCCCGTCAAAGCCGCTGACCGCAGTGGCAGCCGTGGCAGTGGCTGGCCGAGACCTGCACGAAAGTGGGTCTTCTGAACAGAAAGTGTCTGATGTGCAGTCCGCCCGACGTCTTAACTGCGCTCGTCACTGGATTGCTATGCTGATGCGGGGGTAAGCCAGCCAGCCGCAGCACAGCGCCTGCCCAGCCAGGACCAGGATAAAGACATAGGGGCCAGACACAGCTCGGCGCCACCTGAATTGGGAGCTGAATCGGGGGCGTCGCGTGATTGCGCGCATGAGTTGATCTGCACCTCCACTCTGCCTCCGACGTCCCCGCCCAGCCCCCCATCCGTCGTTTAAAGCAGGACAGGACCGACGTCATGATCTGATTGAGACCCAGGAAGCCGTAACCCTGCATCTTGCCTTGCCTTGCCTTCACTGGAAGCCGGTTACACGCCGGGTGCGCCAGATACGCCGGACACGCCGGACTGGCCGGACATGCCGGTTCGGTTTAATTTTGTATTCCATTTTGTTACATTCAACCACCAATGCAAGTCATTCTTGTCACTCGTCGCGCACGCGCAACGCGCAACGCCGTACTTCCAGTGCTACATCCGACACTCTGAATCGCCGAACGGCCCACGGCGTGGTCACAGTTTCACCTTGCTGTGCACAACCGAGGAGCCAACGAATGCTCGAGCATTTGCCGCTATCACGTTTGAACGTTTGAAGCAATGAACCAAGGAGCGGATGTCGAGGATGTCGGGTGGATATAGGCCTCCGAGGTGATCGTCGTACGTCGTCGCCTTTCTAACTGCCTGCTTCCCCAACGGCCCAACGTCCAAAAGTGTCCAAAAGTGTCCACAGATACGGAGGCTGTTCAGGGTTTTCTCTTCCCCGGACTGGGCATGTTGCAGTGCAAGTCGTCCTGGGGAAAACAGTCCCGGGCAGGATGACTGAATTCACTCCTGCGTTCATATCAGTCCCATTCCCCTTGCATTAGCCTTGCTTCCGAGCTGTCTCGAAAAGTGCTATCACAGTGGGGTCTCTGGGTGAACCGCGAATTTGACTGAATTTCAAGTTCACCACCATCGAAGCGAGCCTGCCGCGCGCGCCGGACGAGCCGCGAGCCGCGAGCCGCGCTCCGACGGGACGACAACTAATCTCACTCAGGAACAGTCCTCGCATCTCGCCGTGCACGCCGTGGTTGGCTGTGGTGCGTGTCGGCGCTCACCGCCGCAGCCTGCCCCCGAAGACTGCGCTTTGACCCCGGTCCACTGGACATTCGCTATATGCGCCCAGCCTCGGGCCTCGGCGGTCCTGTTTGAGGAGCTCGGTCACGGCTGCTCACTCGCACCAAGTGTTCTATACGAGGCATCTCGTTCCGGGGTGACAAACCTGTCGTTTCCAGTTGAACCCGGCGGTTCCGACTGACCCGACGGCGTTTGCGCTGAAGCAGCTCTGAAGCAGCCTCTTGCAAAGAGAGTTCGATCGCGACCGAAATGGCAGCGGATGGCGGAACCTGCAAAATCATGGTAATGCCCAAGGGGGGCCACGCGACGAACCCTCTTGCCATGATGTCAAGGTAGAGAGGTACGCGTACCTGCCCGCATGCCCGTCAGCGCAGCACAGAGGCTCACCGGCGATCGCAGCCTGCCGTTAAAAGTCACCGTCTGCCGCTGCCGCGGCGAAGGTTCGATAGAGTCTGCGCTTGTGGGTCGGTGCTGCCATTTTTGACACAGCCAGAGCCAGAAAATAGCAACAAAGTGGAAGAAGGCTATGCAGCGCAGCACGCAGCACGAGACGGGGTAACGGCATAGGCATGTAGAAGTGCCCCACTCCAGTCCTGCCTGACTGACCACCGCTTGCGATCGTTCATGGCGTACCTCACGAGCCCTTGACGTTTCCCTAGCTGCACGCGACATACTTTGGTCCGTGGGTACTGACCTGAGCAGGAGCCGTAGGCGCCGGTTTGCACATTCGCAATTGGGACAGCTGGACGCGCACATCGTGACCTGCCGCCCGTCGTCCGTCTCGCTCTCCTGCCCTCGGAATCAGGCAGATAGCTGTTGCTAGTCCCAACTCGAACGCATTTCGCAGCTGCAGGCGGCCATGCCAATGCTTCATACAGACTCAGGCACGGCGAGCCCGACGGCCTCGCTGGCCTCGCTGGGCTTGCCTGCCCCACTCTGCAGTCTCTGCATTAAGCACCGCTCGCTCGCTCGCTCGTTCAGGTGCTCTTAAGGCACGGAAGTCAACTCTTTCCACCAACTCTGACCCATGTATAGCTGCGAGGAGAGACAGACGGCTGCGCGCGACGCGACAGGCACCGCACGGCACGATATCGGTACATCCGCCATGTACTTTCCCTCGGCGTGCCTACCTTGTCTGCTTGCTGCCCTCGGCGAACAAAACAAGGTTACAACTTAGCCCCACCCCTCCACACCCCCTCCACAGTCCATTGCATGCCCGTCCGCCTGGGCGCGGCGACTCACCTACAACTCTAGGAACGGAGGAACGGACCTGCGCTCGCTCTGCTCGCTCTGTTCGCTCGCTTCGAGGTGTAACCGCGTACCGTGGTCTCACTTCTAAGGTGTGCCAGGTACAACCCAATCCGTGGCTTTTGTCCTTGTTCAGATCCGCCCAGCGGCGACTTTAGGTGTAAAAGAGGCTGGGAAGTGAGAAATTAGGCAAAAAGGAAGACACGCGAGGAAGAAGCGGACACTATGGCCCAGATTGGCTCAGGTTAGAGTTTGACAGCGAGGTTGGTATCTGCATGCCTGAGAGGAGGAGGAGGGCGGTGAAGACGGCATCTGCATGCCACATAGGAGCGAAAACGAGCAGATCGACGTGACGCTGTCTCTGACGTCTTGAACAGCTGAGGAATGTCTGGGCAAAAAGGGCGACAAAGAAGGTCTTGTGCAAAGGAGGGCCTGCCGATGACGGCGATGGTCCATTGCCAGGCTCAAGACAGAGATTCTAGGCCGCCGGTGGACCCGGCAAGGCCGGCATCTGCGCACATGGGAGGAAGGGGAGTGAATGCTGAATAGCATTCCAAGCCGGTGGGTGGGCTGAGGGGTGCGTGCCTGGCAAGGCTGGAGCGGGAGAGAGGGATGAGGGAGAGGGAAGGGAAGGGAGAATAGGATTGGGATAAGAAAAAGAGAGAGTGAGTTATTCGGCCATGAGCACTAATCGGGAGGACAAACTTGGAGAGTGAGTGTTCGAGCTTAATTCCCGCCCCGTCCTGCGTGTCCTGGCTTGAGCTAAACACTTGGCTCAAAAGTCTCATAGTCTCACTCACTCATCTCACCACTTCAGTATCTTGCCGATCGATCACTAGACGACTAGGCTGTCGAGCCCCAGCCAAGCCATGCATCACGTCCACTTGAGACATCTTTGCATACCATACAGCCGTCTAGCACCATATGCAACACTCACCATGCATCGCACTTGCGGCGTCTGCAATCTTAGCTCGTCCTAAGCCGCACGCCTCCACACTCTACATCCCAACTACCGACAAGGCTCCATTGGCATGGCCATCTAATCTGATCACCTTGCCCCCCCGCTTCTTATCATCTTCCCCCGTCCTTCCTTCCTTCCGCCTAGGCGACTACCCCCCCAAGCAAACCCACTTTAGTAAAACTCAAACTGGCCCCTCTTCCAGTCCTCTGTGCACATTACGCACTCCCCCCGGCCGCTCATCGGCTGCATTTTCTCCTGCCTCTCTTTCCAGCCAGTCATTCCTACTTGCCACTCGTTCGTTGCCGGTGTTCGAGCGAAATCCGACCCGACCGATTGACCGACCAACGAACAGTCGACAGTGAATTTACAGTCACCGGCGGGTGTACGATTGCAGCAGACCCAGACTTGGGGGATCCCCGACGGCGCGCGCGCAGTACGGCACGGCACGGGCGGCGACCCACTTGTGAAGTGATTATTGCGGCGAAGCTTTGTGTCGAGTGTTGTCGCATCGCATCTGTTGATTGGCGTGCGTTTGGTTGGTGCCTGTGTACCTGTGAGGCTCAGTGAGATTTAGGAACCGGCGTCGAAGGGAGCTCTCGATCCTTGTGAGTCCTGACACTCGACGCAACCCTGGCTGGGTATACGCCCTGGCTAGCCTGGCTTGCCCTTACAGCCCTACTCCCTGTACTCCCTCCCCTCCCCCCCCCT